TCAATGTGAGGCGTGTTGGACATAGCTATCTCGAGGGCGTCCTCGGCGTCTAGAGATTGCAGGATTTGGAAGTCAGGCCACAAATCTCTCCCCGAAGTCCCCACCTCGGCGTGCAGAGGAACCAAATCCTCTCTAACCNGGGGTGGCGTTGGTCCCTGTAGGTGGGGCCCCGGTGGTTGACCCACGCCCCCGCCCAGCAGCGAGGGTTTGCCTCTGCCTTAGGAATCCCAGATCAATGCGGGGCGTGTTGGACATAGCTATCTCGTGGGCGTCCTCGGCGTCTAGAGATTGCAGGATTTGGAAGTCAGGCCACAAATCTCTCCCCGAAGTCCCCACCTCGGCGTGCAGAGGAACCAAATCCTCTCTAACCCCGAGCTCCTCAACTTCACCCTCTACTTCTGCCTCCGTAGCCCGGTTGGGGTCTTTCTCCAAGTTCTCCTCGTCCTCTTGCCACACCGCCTAATCGAAGAGTTCAGACCACCGCGAAGGCTCAAAAGGCTGGGGAAGCTGTGAGAACTTTTTATATCCGGGAGTGTAATTCAGGAGGATGTGGGCAGCCCGGCCGAACCCGTCGTCACCAGTAAATCTCCAAACAGTGACTAGGTCGGCAAAGTTCACCAATGACCGAGGTGGAGGAGCTGTTTTCCTAGTGGAGATGTCTGCACACAAACAAAAAGAGAGGGGAGGGAGTTATGAACACTGCTAAAAAATCTCAAGAACAAAATAATAGACCCGAAGAAGCCGATGTACTTGTCGTTCTCCATTCCAAAGGGCATAACAAGCCGTTATACTCGGGACCGGCACCCCTCTGCCAAGATCCCTTGAAAATGAATAGGTCATCCTTGTACCTCTTGTCCGAGTCGGGAAGGTGAGTGACGAGGTACATGGATGGGTCCCTGGCTTTGAGGTAGAAGTTTTGTTGAGGCATGATCCTCAAAAGGGAGTAGCAAAAGAGGATATCGTTCAGCCCAACATTTATCCCGAGACGTTTGTTGAGCTCTAAGACTCCCATAATTATCCTAAAGACATTAAGACAACACTGCCCGGGGAAAAGATGAAAATGGGAGAGGAACTGGAGAAGAAGAGGGGGTAGAGGGAACTTAAGTCCGCCCTCTATGATGGCTTTGGTATAAAAGGGCATCTCATTCTCGGCCCCGAGGGTACAGGAATGCAAAGCCGGATCATAATCCTCTATGTCTACATATGGGGGGATGTTGTACTTGAATCTAAACCTATTAATTTGCTTGCCCCCTTCACTTTATACTTCCCTGGCCTCGAAGAACTGGCCTGAGGATCCTCGGGGGCAAGGCAACGACTGGGCATCTCCAAAAAGTGATAAAAAGTGAAGAAGGAGGGGGTTTTTCCACGAAGATCCCCAAGGAGGCTTCCCGAGGATTGGTCGCTGAGTGGCAACTAGAAATGCCTCCAGTTATCGGAAAACCAAAAGGAACAAAAAAAATGAGAAGAAGAGAAGAGACGGAGGGCGAAGAAATGGAAGATACAAGGACTCACCAGAACGTAAAATGAAGTTTTTTCTTGAAACTTGAAGCGACTCNTAGAAATGCCTTTAGTTACCGGAAAACCAAAAGGAACAAAAAAAATGAGAAGAAGAGAAGAGACGAAGGGCGAAGAAATGGAAGATACAAGGACTCACCAGAACGTAAAATGAAGTTTTTTCTTGAAACTTGAAGCGACTCCTTCCTCCAGAATGTTCAGAAGCAAGGATGGGTCTGCTGGCCTTAAGACTCCGGTGAAAGATTGGACAGTAGACAACAAAAGGAAAGGGATGTCCGACGAGGTTTCAGGCAAGGGCTCTCTGAAGAAATCCGAAATGGCAAAGTGAGAAAGGGAGAGAGGAAGCCCATTTATATAGTACTCATCCCCATCATTTGGGCACGAAGCACGAAGAGGCGCATTTAATGCGCACGACCTCCGAAGCAGAGGAAAGCGGCTGAAGGCAATGATGAAGTAGTTGGGGTAGTTGCAGAACCCTTCGTCTGCTTACGACGCGTGTCCTCGGGGTCAGGAGATCGAAGGCTGGGGGGCAGTTGATGGGATATTTTCAAATACTCCAAGATGAAGACNTTTCGTCTGCTTACGACGCGTGTCCTCGGGGGTCAGGAAATCGAAGGCTGGGGGGCAGTTGATGGGATATTTTCAAATACTCCAAGATGAAGACACGTGTCCTCGGCATCAGTGAATTCTTGTTACTATAATCACGACACGTACCCGTCGGATCGCAAGTCCCTGTTCCCCCGAGGTACTGTTCATAGGAATCAATGACACCCAGTACGTTACGTACCGACACGTATCCTCAGTCGGATACGGGTACATCGGTCCCTACATATACTATTCCCCTCGATACCGAGATGTACCGTCCAGGACGGCGTTCTCTGCTCCTACAGAGGCTATTGATGTATAGGTCACTAGCCTGGGCTAGGCTAGGTTAACCATCATGACCTCGTCTTACACAATTGGTGTCAGAAGGCACAACGAAGGCAGAAGACACAACCAATAGGAAATGGACGCGTGACATATTGTGTCACATCAGAGACAAAAAGACCGGATGTCCTTGCTGACACACGACTTGGGAAAGCAAACATTTAATTACACCATTCCCTTGATGAGACAGCATTTAATGCGGTATGACTCAGAAGTGAAAGATAATAAATGTCCCTAAGACTGGACATTTATTACATCCTTGCCTAGAGGAGCTCATTAAACAATCGGCAGGGCGATGACACAGCCTTGGTTGCTCGGGATCTCGAGCAGTTAAAAGAGAAGACATTCCTCATAGGAATCAATGCGCATGTTGCCCGTATCTAATGATCACCTACTGACCACACTAACAGCAATCATGAGTTTTTGAGGTATAAATACTCCTCACAAAAGGCAAGACGGGAGGCAACAAAAAACCTTTTCTCAAAATTATACTCAGTGTTTTCTTCTTCCCCTCTCTCAAAAATTGACTTGATCGTCGGAGGGGATACACCGAAAAACACTCTGTCGCCCTTCTAACTTATCTTTCTCTGTTCCAGGAACCTCCTTCAGCCTTACTGGACCGCTCCCCTGATCCACGAAAGTCACCCATTACCGTTCCAGGCCACCAACGGATCTCAGCCTGTTCCAAATTGCAAGATTGACCATTTGATTGACTAACTCAAGTTCACCACATGAGAGATTTGTTCTNCGGAGCCCTTCTAACTTGTCTTTCTCTGTTCCAGGAACCTCCCCTGATCCACAAAAGTCACCCATTACCGTTCCAGGCCACCAACGGATCTCAGCCTGTTCCAAATTGCAAGGTTGACCATTTGATTGACTGACTCGAGTTCACCACATGAGAGATTTGTTCTCGTGTTTATATTGTGCAAGATCCTGCACGCACATTTACATAAACGGGATATTTTATTAGCTTGTGAGGGGTTCACTTATTTATTTGTTTACATATTATTGATTAGTAATATTATGAAACAATGTTAATGTTAAATCACCATTGCTATGAATATTTTTTCTAGAAAATACTAAATAAACTTAAAAAATTAACTTTATGAAGAGAATAAATTCTTTACACGCAGTCTATAAATCATTGTTTATAGGCAGTCAATCAAAATTTGATAGTTACACAAATTTATTAGGAATCCTTAGTATTGGTTGGAGGGTTTACAGGCTGCATGTAAAAATTTATTCTCCTTAATAAATTATTACTCCCTTTGTTTTTAAATATATGTCGTTTAAGATTTTTGCACAGGGATTAGGAAAATTATTAAATAGCTCTAATATGAGTAAAAAATAATTACACAAGACTAAAATACTNTCTTTGTTCTTAAATATATGTCGTTTAAGATTTTTGTACAGGGATTAGGGAAATTATTAAATAGCTCTAATATGAGTAAAAAATAATTACACAAGACTAAAATACTCTTATCCAATACGTATTGGGAAAGAAAGGAATATGAAAGACACTTAACCTCCACCTAATCTAATGCATTGAAAAGTTAAAGGTAAATTTAGAAGAAAAAATATTAATTATGTTTTGGTTTCATTAAACGACAGATATTATGAAACAAAAATAATTGTGTAAAACGACAGATATTTAGGAACAGAGTGAGTATTATGAAATTGGTAGTGAGTCCAATAAATATTAAAACCTACAGATATAAAAATCATATCATCAAGGCAAATTTTTTAAGTCAGCATAACATTACTATTTTTTCCATTGCGGAGAGATAAGTGTGAAATAACGCACTTATTATTTATATAATAAGATAGTTCACAAGTTGAATTTTATCNGGGAGTATTATGAAATTGGTAGTGAGCCCAATAAATATTAAAACCTACAGATATAAAAATCATATCATCAAGGCAAATTTTTTAAGTCAGCATAACATTACTATTTTTTCCATTGCGGAGAGATAAGTGTGAAATAACGCACTTATTATTTATATAATAAGATAGTTCACAAGTTGAATTTTATCTCTTACACATTTTTCCTCCTAAAAAATATCATATTACTCATTTTTATCACATGTTCAATTATTTTAATATTTGATTAATTTATAATTTAATATAATTTTTATTTTAAATATTATTCATACACGATAATATATANCACTTATTATTTATATAATAAGATAGTTCACAAGTTGAATTTTATCTCTTACACATTTTTTCTCCTAAAAAATATCATATTACTCATTTTTATCACATGTTCAATTATTTTAATATTTGATTAATTTATAATTTAATATAATTTTTATTTTAAATATTATTCATACACGATAATATATATATATATATATATATATATATTGAGAAAATTTTATCGGATTACATATTTTAAAAAAATATATTAATATTTTTAAAAAAATAATGAACAAATATAGATTTTAAATGATATAATTAAATAAATAAATAAAATTAATATTTAATATAATAGGATAAATTTTTTGAACATAGAATTTTATGTTTCGGATGCCCAGGTGGAACAAAACACGTGAGTCCTGATACACCGAATCTCCGTCTGAATCACTCTCTCTCCACACCACGATTCATACACCTTCGCTCTGTTCCTCTCTGCTCGCCATAATCCACAACCCCCTAAACACAGACAGATACGTACAGGAAGGGGTCAGAGAGATACAAATTCTCCGTCACCGCCATTGTAGATCAACATGCAGAGGATCCTCCCAAGGGCATTATCGGGAAGAGATTCCCTGTTGAGCCATCGTTCCTTGTCGAAGCTAGCGCACACCGATACAGCTCTTTCAGAAACAGATGTATTCGTTCCCAAAATGCCCCCTTTCGACTACACTCCGCCTCCCTACACCGGCCCCTCCGCCTCCGAGATCTTGAAGAAGCGCCAACAATACCTCAGCCCTTCTATGATTCACTTCTACAAGAACCCCGTGAGTTCTCTTCTTCTTCTTCTTCAATGAATCCTATATTCTGATCTTTACTACGTTACAATTGGATCTTGTGAATTGAAGACATTGTCATGTGCTTTCATGCTCAGATTTGTTTATTTATTTTCGGACGTTGATTGGATTGTTTTGACGAACTTGTGCTTTTGTGTATGGGTAGTTGAATTTGGTAGATGGGAAAATGCAGTACTTGTTTGATGAGAATAGGCGTCGGTACCTGGATGCATTTGGAGGGATTGCCACAGTGTGTTGTGGGCACTGCCACCCTCAAGTGGTGGAAGCAATTGTCAACCAAACAAAACGTTTGCAACATTCCACAGTATTGTATCTAAATTCTGCTGTTGCTGATTTTGCTGAGGCACTGGCTTCTAAGCTGCCCGGTGACCTTAAGGTGTTTCTCAGCTTCATTTCCAATATACCATCTTAATTTTATCATTTCATGTTGTTTAATTTTATTTTTTCCCATTTGTTTGTGTTATTGAAAGTTGAATTCGCATGGCCATTTAGGTTGTTTTCTTCACAAATTCTGGGACGGAAGCAAATGAGCTGGCTTTGATGATTGCTCGATTGTACACCGGTTGCCAGGATATTGTTTCACTTAGAAATGGTTATCATGGTAATGCAGCTGGGACTATGGCTGCTACTGCTCAATCCAACTACAAGTTCAATGTTGTGCAGGTATATTTCTTTGTCAGATAACTTCCATAGTCAAATTATCTTGTAAATATCAAATTCCTAGTGTTACATTGGCGACTGAACCTTTAGCATTTTGCTGTTTGGGTATAAGGATTGGTGATCAATCTATAAAACTTCAGTGACTGCATTAATTAAGCAACACATCATCCTTGTTTTTTGTTTTCCCAGCTGAGGTCATATTTAGTCATGCAGTGTGGTTGACATACCAATCCAAGACCTTTCATGCAAGGAAATCAAGAACCCGCGGCTCCCCTTGCAATGTCTTTCCCCAACATGGCTCCTGTTTAATAACCAGTCACACGACGCCTAAAACCCCTTCTTGCCCTACAACTGGAAAAATCATTCTTCAATGTTAAGAGTAATACTTGCGCCAATTTATTTACGGATTTCAGGGTATCCTTGATATTCAAAATTTTCAAGCAAAGTGTTGAAGCCTTCGAGGATTAGCCAGATAATATTCCATCTAGGCAGCTAATTAGATTTGGCATCTGTCAAGTAGACATCAGTCCATTTTTAATTGTCTTCTCATTCTATCATACAGGCTGGAGTTCACCATGCCCTGAACCCAGATCAGTACAGAGGTGTTTTTGGTTCAGATGGACTTAAATATGCAAAGGACGTTGAAGACCTCATTGCCTATGGAACTTGTGGCCGTGTTGCCGGTTTTGTTGCAGAAGCCATTCAGGTGCCACTTTTAATTGCATGCATACATACATACACGTTTGTTTTATTTATTGAACCCTTACCACATGAAGATTCTTCTTTTAGTTTCTAAACTCAAATAGCATGATTGACAGGGAGTTGGTGGAATTTTGGAATTGGCACCAGGTTACCTGCCAGCTGTGTACAGCAGCATCAGAAAGGCAGGAGGCCTTTGTATAGCTGACGAGGTTCAGTCAGGTTTTGCTCGCATGGGTAGCCATTTTTGGGGGTTTGAGGTCCATGGCATTGTGCCTGATATCGTTACTATGGCAAAGGTGGATTTTTGTACCACTCTTTCATATGATACTCATAGGTTGCCTAATTCTTCTCCATTTTTGCCAATTCTCTTAGAGAACTGGATAAGATAATCTCGTTTTTATGGATGAAGCCATGTAATAATTTAGAAAACATTTACACATGCATGTGAATATATTTGAGTGAGACGCATCATATTCAAGTAGGAAGGTACAACTGGTGGAAGCTTCCTTCTCATTGGTTGAAGATCTCTTCAGGACTTTTGCATTTGTTGGGCAGTTAATGGACCAATTGTTTACTTCTCCGTTGTTGTTTATCATTCAGTCATGCAAAAGTCTAGTGGCTCATCTTCAATTGCATTATATATAGAGCCAATGAATTCTAGGGATGATAATTAAACGTGCATCTCGTTTCCCACAGTATTATGCGGTATCCGTAGAAAGTTCGCATTTTGACCGATAGCGACAATTTTAACAACTTACATGATTTTCCTACTGTTCTGTAGCCTTTAAGATTGTGAGGTTTCACCCCCACTTTTGTTCCACAGGGTATTGGAAATGGCATTCCCCTTGGTGCAGTCATAACCACTCCTGAGATTGCAAAGGTCTTGACTTATCGCAGTTATTTCAATACATTTGGGGGGAATCCTGTATGTACGGCTGGTGGATTAGCTGTTCTCAAAGTGATAGAAAACGAAAAGCTTCAACAAAATGCGTTCACTGTGGGATCATATCTGAAAGAGCGTCTCAGTGCTCTCAAGGAAAAGCATGAAAGTATGTTCCCTACTGTTGAAAATTCAGGAATCCAGCTAGAATCTCGTGCAAATCCTACTACTGATTAGGAAGACAATGGTGCATAAAATGGGTTTGAGTTCACGAGACCATGGAAAAATATAAACTTTTGATGTGACTTGTAAAGTAAAAGAAAAGAGATGAGCAGAGAAAGGGTTCTCATATTGTTTTCCTTTCTCTGTTTCCTTCAATTTCTGCCGCGTTTAAAATATTGCTCTTTACTGATATCATATGTCCCATCTGGTTTCTGCAGTTATTGGGGATGTCAGGGGAAGAGGTCTGATGCTTGGAGTCGAACTTGTTACCAACCGTCAATCAAAAACGCCAGCAAAAGTTGAAACTCTTCATATTATGGACCACATGAAAGGTTATTCTCTCTTCTCGGCTTCAATTCTACTCTTTGAACCTTCTCTCCTGATTTACACACGCACGCGCACATACATGTACCTTGATTTTTTTACTTACAAACAAGTCTCATGCGTGTAGAAATGGGAGTATTAATAGGGAAGGGTGGATTTCATGGGAATGTATTCAGGATCANCTCGTTTCCCACAGTATTATGCGGTATCCGTAGAAAGTTCGCATTTTGACCGATAGCGACAATTTTTACAACTTACATGATTTTCCTACTGTTCTGTAGCCTTTAAGATTGTGAGGTTTCACCCCCACTTTTGTTCCACAGGGTATTGGAAATGGCATTCCCCTTGGTGCAGTCATAACCACTCCTGAGATTGCAAAGGTCTTGACTTATCGCAGTTATTTCAATACATTTGGGGGGAATCCTGTATGTACCGCTGGTGGATTAGCTGTTCTCAAAGTGATAGAAAACGAAAAGCTTCAACAAAATGCGTTCACTGTGGGATCATATCTGAAAGAGCGTCTCAGTGCTCTCAAGGAAAAGCATGAAAGTATGTTCCCTACTGTTGAAAATTCAGGAATCCAGCTAGAATCTCGTGCAAATCCTACTACTGATTAGGAAGACAATGGTGCATAAAATGGGTTTGAGTTCACAAGACCATGGAAAAATATAAACTTTTGATGTGACTTGTAAAGTAAAAGAAAAGAGATGAGCAGAGAAAGGGTTCTCATATTGTTTTCCTTTCTCTGTTTCCTTCAATTTCTGCCGCGTTTAAAATATTGCTCTTTACTGATATCATATGTCCCTTCTGGTTTCTGCAGTTATTGGGGATGTCAGGGGAAGAGGTCTGATGCTTGGAGTCGAACTTGTTACCAACCGTCAATCAAAAACGCCAGCAAAAGTTGAAACTCTTCATATTATGGACCACATGAAAGGTTATTCTCTCTTCTCGGCTTCAATTCTACTCTTTGAACCTTCTCTCCTGATATACACACGCGCGCGCACATACATGTACCTTGATTTTTTTACTTACAAACAAGTCTCGTGCGTATAGAAATGGGAGTATTAATAGGGAAGGGTGGATTTCATGGGAATGTATTCAGGATCANCTTGACTTATCGCAGTTATTTCAATACATTTGGGGGGAATCCTGTATGTACGGCTGGTGGATTAGCTGTTCTCAAAGTGATAGAAAACGAAAAGCTTCAACAAAATGCGTTCACTGTGGGATCATATCTGAAAGAGCGTCTCAGTGCTCTCAAGGAANGTTGACTTATCGCAGTTATTTCAATACATTTGGGGGGAATCCTGTATGTACCGCTGGTGGATTAGCTGTTCTCAAAGTGATAGAAAACGAAAAGCTTCAGCAAAATGCGTTCACTGTGGGATCATATCTGAAAGAGCGTCTCAGTGCTCTCAAGGAAAAGCATGAAAGTATGTTCCCTACTGTTGAAAATTCAGGAATCCAGCTAGAATCTCGTGCAAATCCTACTACTGATTAGGAAGACAATGGTGCATAAAATGGGTTTGAGTTCACAAGACCATGGAAAAATATAAACTTTTGATGTGACTTGTAAAGTAAAAGAAAAGAGATGAGCAGAGAAAGGGTTCTCATATTGTTTTCCTTTCTCTGTTTCCTTCAATTTCTGCCGCGTTTAAAATATTGCTCTTTACTGATATCATATGTCCCATCTGGTTTCTGCAGTTATTGGGGATGTCAGGGGAAGAGGTCTGATGCTTGGAGTCGAACTTGTTACCAACCGTCAATCAAAAACGCCAGCAAAAGTTGAAACTCTTCATATTATGGACCACATGAAAGGTTATTCTCTCTTCTCGGCTTCAATTCTACTCTTTGAACCTTCTCTCCTGAT